TTCTATTTGGCAGGCCTCCCCCAATTCTTCCCAACTTGCAAGCTGATCTGTTAGCTGAGCAAAAGATAAAAACTTTCTCTCCTCCCTACAAGCTTTGTTTCAGGTCCAAGAAGCCTTATGTTAGAACTTAGAGGTGGTGGACTACAAGCCTCCCCCGGAGCCCCACAATTTCCAACCTGGAGACTTGGTACTGATCAAAAGGCATCAAAAAGAAACCTTAGAGCCGCATTGGAAAGGACCTCACACAGTCATCCTAGCAACTCCCACAGCGATCAAAGTTGACGGGATAGCAGCATGGATCCATCACACTCAGGTCAAGGCCGCTCCTAGAGATCAAGAGTCTACATGGACAATTCGAGCCCATCCGACTGACCCTCTGAGAGTAAAAATTACCCGACATGTGGCCACTTCTAGTTCTCCAGGCTTTAACCCTGAAACTAATGGTGGCAGCAGTGGCCAGAAGTCCCCACTTCCCAAGGAGACTTGAGTGGATCATCATCAAATCCGAGACTGGAGACATTATCAAGTCTACAGAACAAGAAGGACACCCTAACTCATGGTCCCCCGATCTGTGCTTCGATGTTTGTAAGTAGTTTGGGACAAACTGGGGCTTAAGAGGGGACCCCAAGTACCCACGCCCAACCCAAGGAATAGGGTGTAGGACCCCAGGGTACCAAGACGTGACACATCAACACAATTTCTATGTATGTCCCAGACACAGCTGAAGTCAATCTCAGCAGGCTACATGTGGGGGCCCAGAACACTTCTTCTGTGCTGTCTGAGGCTGTGAGTCTACAGGAAAGATAGATTGGAAACCCTCTGTACAAGGTGATTGGATACAAGTTAGCCAATCTAAGGGGCCTACCTGCTGGAGTAACCCAGACTGTAACCTGATCCGCATTCACTTCACCTCCATAGGAAAAACTAAGTGGGAAGAATGGAAATCAGGGGGGATGTGGGGCCTTCGCTTTTATGCAGAGGGAGCAGACCCCAGAGCTCTTTTAACAATTATGCTCCGGGAGGCCCACTCTTAAATAAACCACCACTCATTTGGGGACCAAACCCAGTGCCTCCTCCTCCACTCCCAGAGGAACTTCAGAAATCTACTGCAGGACCTACCTACCCTTCGCCTAGGACATATCCAAGGTCAGATTCAAAGCTACACCACTTACCCTTCTCTCTGTCCCTAACTGGACCCAGTCTCTTCTGCCTAGTAGAGGCCACTTGTCAGGTATTAAATATCTCCAAACCAGAAGTAACCCAATCCTGCTGGCTTTGCCTAGACTCTAGACCCCCTTTCTATGATAGCATTGCTCTACCAGCCAATTTCTCTACTGAGACTGACTCCTCCAAATGCCGATGGTCCCAAGAGAATTTTGAGTGTGCCCCTAGAGTTACCCTACAGGCCCTCACAGGGACTTTGTGTTGCCACCAACCAACTGCCTCCTTACCTTCACTTATGTAGCCAGACCCTAAATGTTAATTCCGAGATCCAATCATACCTAGTAGCCCCTCCCAACATTTAGTGGGCCTGTAAAATGGGAATAACTGCTTGTATCCATGCTGACACCCTTAGAACTCATGATGATGTCTGCATTCTCGTGCAACTCATCCCCCGGATAGTAGTGCATGGTGAAAAAGAAATAATTGATAGCTATTCCCTAAGTCAAAGGAGTCTAAGCAGGCAAAAACGAGAAATTATTTCCACCATAGTAGTCTCTGCCATTTTGGGGGCTGGGCTGGCCGGTGCTGGTACAGGCATAGCATCTCTAGTCCTCCAAGATAAATATTACAAAGCCCTCAATGATGCTATTGACCACAATTTCCGAACAGTAGAACTTACTCTAGCCTGGCTAGAAGAGTCTTTGTCCTCCCTAGCAGAGGTTGTACTACAAAACTGAAGAGGACTTGACTTACTGCTCTTGCAACAAGGAGGACTATGTGTAGCCTTAGGAGAACAGTGCTGCTTCTATACCAATCACTCAGGTGTTATTCAAAATTCTTTGACTGAACTAAAAACTAGAATTCAAAACCAGCAGAGAAATAGAGCAGCCACCCAAAACTGGTATGAAAGCCTTTTCAGTTGGTCCCCTTGGCTAACAACTTTATTTTCAGCAGTAGCAGGCCCCCTCTTACTTCTGATACTAGTTCTTACATGTAGCCCCTGCCTCATCAATGCCCTCCTCAAATCTGTACAGAAACGATCTCCACCATCCAACTCATGGCCCTTAGATCTCAGTACAGGCCCTCGAATAAGGAAGACCCTATTCCGTTACTTCAAAGATTTGAAATAGAACAAAACTCAAGGGGGGAATGAAGAGTCCTGACTAAAGAGTCTGGACATAAGCTACTCCATTTTTTTTAATGACTTCGTTTTGTGAGAAACAGGTCATGCCCACTCTGCGCATGACCCATTTTGCGCACGGCCCGCTCTGCGCACGGCCCGCTTTACACACCACCTGCTCTGCGCATGGCCCGCTCTGCGCACAGCCTCATTCCTGTTTATAAAAGAAGAATGAACTTGTACTTTGGGGTCTCCACCTGCGTGTGCGAGACCCCAGCATGCTGGCTACCCAATAAATGCTCTTGCTTTTGCATCCACGCATCTCCCAGTTATTCGGAGGTTGATTACACAGACCCAACAGACACTACTGAATTATACACTTAAAAATGGTTAAGACAGTAAATATTGTTATGTATATTTATCACAATCTTTTACACAAGTAAAAAAATTATGATTTAGATATCTGCTATTTAAAATGGTCTTTCCTCCACTCAATATTGGTCCCAAAAAGAAAAGACCATGTTTCAATGCAATGAATGGACACATTATAGACACCTTCCTATGGTTGTATATTTTTCATATTAAGTCCCAGAATTTACCTCATCCCAAAACACTATCACACACAGAAGTCTACATTCCTAAAGTAAATTCTTCAACAAAGTTCTTTTAACCAAGTCACTACAATAAAAAGACAAAATGTTAACAGTACACCACTGACTGTTACTAGGTCTAGATGATTATGTCATAATAAATGCAGATAAGGAGCATGCCTTCTGCACAGCTTTACCACCTATGTCATGTTAGGAAAGAGTATAAAACCTAAATGTGATTTATTCCCACTAGGATGTTTAGACACTTTAACAGTAAGGTATTAACAAAGGGCCACATGGTGGAAGCTGTTCGGGCTGAGAGTGGGGGTGGGGGAATTGATAAGGGCCTAGCGATACCTGTTTGAGTTTTTTAAACCTACCAATAAAATTAAGACAAATGTAAAGGAAAGATATAATTGGCTTAGGCGATGTCCAGGAAAGAATGTGAACCCTGTAGTACTCAGCCAATGAGAAACTAGGGGAGGGACTCACATACTAGGAGATAAATTATTGGCGCCAAACTCCCCAGGTGTGCCTGCCCACCAGACACCCAATCTTGCAAGACCGTCACTAAAGCCTAGCTCCGCTGTTCTCTTTGTCTTTGTGTCCACTTACTGAATTTGGACCAGTGTGTTTCTTACATGTCAGGTGGCACATTATTAAGCATAAAACTGCCTACAACATACTTAAACCATATCTTTATTTTCTTAACAGCTTCACTCAGGTATCACATACCATTAAATTCACCCTTCTAAAGTATATAATTCAGTGGTTTTCAGTATATTCACAGAGTTAGATATTCATTACCAATTCCAAAGCAATTTTGTCACCCTGAACAGACAGCCCCATACCCATAAGAGTCACTACTCATTCCCCTTTCCTTCCCACACTTTGAAAACAACTAATGTACTTTCTGTCCCTGTGGATTTGCCTGCTCTGGACATTTCATATAAATTCACATATAACATATGGCCTTTTGCATAAGTTCCTTTTACTCAGCACAATATTTCTGACTTTCATCCATGCTGGGGTGTGCATCTGTACTTCTTTCCTTTCGGGGGCTGGACAAATACTCCATTATGTAGATATACCACATTTTCTTCACTCATGAGTTGAATATTTGTGCTGTCTCTACACTTTTTCTATTATGAATAAAACTGCTTTATTACTAATACTGCTAGACACACTTGTGTACATGTGTTTGTAAGTTTTCAATTCTCTTGGTGGGAAACTGTTGGGTCACATGGTAATTCTATGTTTAACTTTTGAGAAACTACCAAACTGTTTTTCATAGCAAGCTGCATTATTTTACATTCCCACCAGCTATGCAAAAAAGTTCTAATTTCTTCATATCCTCAACACTCATTACTGCCTGTTTTTTCTGTTAAAGCAATGTTAGCAGGTGTGAAGTGGTATCTCACTGTGGTTTTGATGTGCATCAACAAGTGATGCTGAGCTTCTTTTCATGTGCTTCCTGGCCATTTGTACACCTCCATTAGGGAAATATCTATTCAAATCCTTCGCCTGCTCTTGGTTGGGCTGTCTTTGTATCCTGGAGTTACAGTTCTTTATATACTCTAGATACAAATCTCATCAGATATGATTTGCAAATATCTTCTCCTAATATGTGGATTGTTATTTCACTTTCTTGATGGTGTTCTTTGAAGCACAAAGATTTTTTATTTTGACATAATCTAATTTACCTACTTTTTCTTTTGTTACTTACACTTGTGGTGTCATGCCTACAAAAATCATGTATTTTTTAATATTAATCTGTATGTCAACAAGAGTGGATTGGAGAAGAAATGGTGTAAAATTAAGAACCAAAGTAAAGAAACAACTGAAGACTCAAATCCAGAGTCAATTTTCTTGTGAACAAAATCATAAACATAAGAAATGCACATAATACAGTACAGACTAGTAAATACAATTGCGATCAATGTGCTCATATTAATCAGTCAAAAGTAAAAGCCCCTCAGGAAAATGAACAAGTAAATAATTTCCAATCATCACATTAAGGTAAAATTTAGTTGCTTTAAGGTTTCTATTAGAAAATTTCTATTAGGAAATTTTATACAATAAAATAGTCAGAAGCATAACTTTCTTATTTAAATGAAAACACTAACCTGCTAAGTAATTCCAGCCCAGCAGAGTACTTTGGCAAATGTGGAACTGTCCTGCCAAAGGAAACACTTATTAAAATTTTTTCTAATTTAGGCCAACTAAAAAAATTACAAACAAGAATTCTGACACTGTCACAATTATGACTAAATGATAATTATATAAACTTTTAGAGAAATGTATAGTTTCATTTCAAAGTTAAAATCCTTTAATATACTATCATCCATCACTTGGCCCTGTATTTTTAGCACATAATACAATGAACACTTTAATGTTAAACAATAAGAATTTTTTTAAAAGCTCATCATCTCTAAGTTGACAGTGAAACTTGATCACATGATATGGTTTACTTGATTAAAAAATATGAAAAAATTAACAACTATTACTGGTACTTTCATATAAAACAGGTAACACAGCTGAAGAGGCTCACTTGTCAAGTACTGTTTCCTTGTTAATTTGCTTCTCAATAATGCAGGGCTTTTACTTTGTTCTTAATACACAAAGAAAAATGATTAGTTGAGATCAACAATAGCCACTGTTATAGAATAAAACAATTAACATTTCACCTTTTCAACCATTTTACAATTTTATCAGAAAATTTTCCAGTATTACAAATTTAGAATCTATAAATTGTTTTGTAGTTGGATTCAATCAACAGATGAAACTCCACCAAAATAACTGTTATGACTACAACCAAAAAGTGTATGAAATTTAAGTCGTAATAAATTAAATCTTAGCACAAGCTTACCTTGGTTTATTTTTAGCTTCTTTTGACTTGTCACTTAAAGTCTTCAGCCTATAATTTAATATGTATAAAAGATATTATTTTTAAAGCTTAAGAGTTTTTTCAACCATAAATGTCATGGCTTTAAAATTATAGGCTGGATAAGATTTTTTTTAAAGCAAGAATTAAGCACCTCTCCAGACAACAAATATTTTTTAGAGCTTACCGTATGTCAGACACCACAAATGGAAAAGTCATACACCTTTATATTTTTTATTGTCCCAAATCCTTTTTATAAACAATTCCCAAATGTGACCAGAATAGAGAAATCCCATTTACCTGGCATCATTAGAAAAATGGTCCACATAGGTGAACTTCATAGGTAACAAAAATATCTAAGAACGATATTTTAAATAGATGCTCTGCCAGGAACTCAAACTCTTTAACTATACACATTTTGTGATATTTTATCTGTTGATAAAAAGCTTTCTAAAATATGTTACAAATCTTTTCACTGAAGACTTGGTATATTCTTATTTTTTCAATAAAAAATAAGAATATACCAGTTTCAGGTGTAAAACAGAAATTTGGCATTTATACTCATTACAAAACATTCACCACAGTAACTGCAGTTACCATCTGTCACCATACAAAGTTAGTATTATTGACATATACTCCATGCTGTACCTTTCAATCCGAGACTTAACTTTAGAACCGGAAGTTTGTACCTCTGTATTCCTTATATCTATTTCACCTGTCCCCACTCCTCTTCCCTCTGGCAACCACCAGTTTGGTCTGTTTTTAAGAGTCGGTTTCTGGGTCTTTGTTTGACGTTTAGATTCCACATTTAAGTGACTTCATATGGTATTCGTCTTTCTCTGTCTGGCTTATTTCACTTAGCGTAATACCCTCTCAGTCCATCCATGCTGTCACAAATGGCAAGATTTCACTCTTTTTTGTGGCTGAGTTAATATTTCATTGTGTGTATGTACTACTTCTTTATCCATTCGTCTTTCTATGGACACAGAGGTGCACATATCTTTTCAAATTAGTGGTTTTGCTTCTTTGAGTTGCTGGATCATACAGCTCTGTTTTTAATTTTTTTGAGGAACTTCAATACTGCTTTCCATTAGCGCTGCACCAGCTTACATTCCCTAACAGTCTCTAAGCACTCCCTTTTCTCTACATCTTTACTAATACCTGTTAATGGTTGGAGGACTCAGTATATCCTGTTTAACATTTTTGTTTAACTCTGGGATATTATTATGAACACCACTGGCTACATTTTGTGGCAAAACAGTCCTCTGCTCCCATGTTTCTGAGCCGGGAATACCTCTTCATTTACCAGCTGAAAGCAATCTAGCGTGATTTTTCAATTTGTTTGGGATCCTGTGTCTGTTTTTTCTAAATTTAAATTTCTCATCTCCACTATTGTTTATCTGGTTATGAGTTATCCTTACTGCTTCTGCTAACTCTAGCAGCCTCCTCCCTTCTATTTTTTTTAAATTATTGGGCTGGAAAAGAGATAAATAGTCTAGGAACACATATATAAAATAAATTAAATAGGCTCTTCTTTCCATAAAATATGAAATTTATAGACTTGTACAATTTATTTTCACTTCACTGGCCCATTTTTACTTTCTTTTGGCTGTGGACTCTATGCCATCTAATGAGGTTGCCAAAAAGTGGGTGCTAAATTATGAGACAATCTCACATAAAATTAGGTACTGCTACACGTGTTCTTAATTTGATTACCTCAACAAATATTCACTTCTAAAACAGTCTCAAACATAGGACATGGCACATACCACTACCTCCTAAAAAGACTTTGTAAAACTAGAAATAAGTGCTCTATTCTTAAGACACTTCACTGTTATCAGCCAGAAATTCTTCTAATGTACAAGCTGACTCTTGTATGAATGCTGCAACCCTGTGTGGTAACACACAGGTAGAATTACACTAGGATAGTCATACACAGCAGTGTGTTACACTCAAAATTATTCTGGTATTTTTAGTGATTTGGGACAATTCCATATAAGTAGGTGTTACAAAGATATTGAAAGGGAACCGGTAAGGTCCTTTTTGGACGACTCATTAAATCATCTAGCAGATCTCTAGGTTGGTATTTCAAATATGTATTTCTGGAATAAACTTTTAATTTCTTAATTGTTAATATATTAAATTTGGGGTTCCTCTCTGCACTGCCACCCCAAAAAAAGGAAAAAAAAATTGTCCAGAAGAACAGACGGCAGGACTGTCACAGGGAGCTGAAAATAAACTGTTGGGTCAATAAAAGCTCCCCGTGTGGCTGCTTAACAACCATCTGCTTTAAAAGCTGGTCTTTAATCCAATGTAATGTCTGACACTTATGTGACATGGATTTGAACATACCAACTGTAAAAAGACATTTCTAAGAACCAGGAAACTTTATTACAGACTGATAACTGATAATATCAAAGAATTAGTGTTAATTTTGTTATGACACTGGCATTCCAATTATGTAATGTCTGTGTTTTGGAGATGCATACTGATACATGAGAGATGTCAGACATATTTATATATAAGAGAGACAAAGCAAACGGGCCAATAGTGGAGAACTGCTGAATCTGAATAATGGACATATGGGGTTCACTGTTATTCTATTTTTGTATATATTTAAAACTGTAAAAAACTTAAATAAAAACAATCTTTTGGAGATTTTTATTTTCTCATCACACATTCTCCATATAAATCATCCATGTGCTAAAAAATAACAGAAACTGTTGGAGAAAAAGTATAGCTAGAAGAAAGTGGGAAACCATGAAGAAAGTTAGGGAGAGAAAAAGATTCAGGGTTAAAATAACTATTATTATTACTGTAAATTGAAAAGTGAGGTCAGATATATTTAACAAGCTCCAAAAGCCCCAAAAAGATCCTTTCTGAAATACCCCCTCAACACCCAGAACTCAGCTGCAAATAGCTTACCATTTTAATTTGGGGATAACTCTGCATAAGCTTCTCACAGTGACCTGTGCTGGAAACTTCAACCAGCTAACAGAATCTATTTAATGTCCGACAGTGTCATGACATGCTAAGAAGGAAGTACTGACGTAGGTGTACTATCTCAGTTTCCTCCAACATAAAATAGTAGTATTATGCTGAGCATAATGATTTGCCACAGGAATTTAATATTTCAATATGATTCTGAAGCATTCTGTAAACTACAGAGCTAATTCAAATGAAAAGTATAATAAAATCTATCACCATCAAGAAAGATAAACTATGTACATGGCTGGGTCAAGGTGAAATAGAGTTTCCCAATGCACCAGTGCTTATGAAAAGCTTCCCCACTGCTCCTAATCTCCTTGCTAATAGCACATCCCTGCAGGAAGATCTAAGTGTTGCTATGGGAATACATCAATGTACACTGGAGTGTACACCTGATAATTTTCTACCAAAAGCAATTAATGCACACTTTTGAGTTCAAAGCAATAACCTCAAATTCATCTTAATACTTTGCTGATTTATTTTTAGGTTATTCCCAAGATCTTAATTTGACACCAGCACATTTATTTCTTCAAGCTTTGTAGAAAATACTGAAATGGAGGCATCTTAGTAAGAAATGAAGGTGACTGGCAAAACTGCTAGACACAAATTTCTAAAAGTAGTAAATAAACACAATGACACGTGGAGAACAACAATGACTGATGGACGTTAATATGCTTTCTCTGACTCAACCACTTGGGATGACCTTGATGGCATTCCACCTGTTTGCACCTCAATTTCCTACTCATTTAACCTTATCAGCTGTTATGAAGGTTGAGGAAGTTTGGTTTAAAATACCACAAATGTATATTAGCATATTTTGTCATTAAGGTTCAATTCCTTTAACCATATTCATGCTAACCATATTCTGACTTTAAATTCTCTTTACAAATACAAATACAATCTTTCCTTTCCCATTAATGTTTACCTGTTTTTCTTTTTTTTTAAACAAGATCAAGGAGACACAAACTCCAAAGCCTGAAAGAGTCACACAAACGCTGCATAGACTCAGGAAAGGGGGAGGAAGTTAAGACTCTCTCTATCCTAATTAATCCCCAATACACCATTTCAGTTCTGACCTCGCTCCTCAATATTCCTTAGAACTCCCGGCCGCTTCCTGGATGTTGAGCCGTAAGTTACCTCCCAACAAATTCACTGTCAACTGCTCCTTCTCTCCCAAAACTATTCTTAAATTCTTTTATGTTGGTAAATGACATCATTTTCAAAGATACTCTAATAACATTCTCAATTCCTTCACTTTTTTCACTTCCTCCATTTGCTTATAAATTCAACCGGTGCCCGTCACACCCAAGGCCTCCTTCAGATTTCCACTAGCGTTGCCCTGTCATCTGTCACCTGGCCCACAATTGCAGCCTCCTAAATACTCTCCCTGTCCCCCTTCCCTGGCCATCCCACCACACTGCCTCTCACATTATTCTTCCAGAAATACAGGTAGGCTCATGCCACTGGCCTCCACAAAAACCTTCAAACACTCAGTCAACCTAAAAATAATCTAGAATCACTCTATATAAAGTAGCCATCACCTATCTCTCAACCTGCTCTAGTGTTAGCTCAGTATTTATGACCTACTAGATATCTGCCACCTGCAACTAGAATGAGCACCTAGGCACATGATTTGCTGGCTAGTGTGTTCTCTGCGACATCTCTAGCTCCTAGAATACTGTCACAGAGTAAACACTCAATAAATACTTGGTAAATGAATTTAGTAAAGCACTGAAGAGCCTCTATTATCAATCACTAAACGTCCTGTCCAGCTTCATCTCTAACAACTGCTTCCACCTCTGAAATGCCGTTACCCAAATCTATCACAATCCCTCATTCTTCCAGGACAGTTAGGAAGTCACCTCCTCTTGGAAGCCTTCTGCAAATGTATCTGAATTAATCACTTCCCTCTGGGCTCACACAACACACCACATTTTAAGTTTAACATTCAGTTCCTTCTGCTTTGCTTCACATTGTTGCCAGTCTAGGACATCCAGCAGGCAGAAACCATTTTAGTGAACTCTGTAGCCCCAAAATCTCACCCAATATAAAAACTGCTTAGGAAATAACAGGCACCATTGAGCACATAGCTGCTTAAATCTTTTTTTATATATATAAAATGATAAAAATTTCTATAAGAAAAGGACACTTTGAGTGCTAGCCTGGTGTATGACACTTAGTAGGAACTGTTTATTAGATCAACTGAATGTTGAATATTTCCCTTAGTAAAAAGGTGAGTAATGAAGAGTCAACATTTTAGGCAAAACTTCACTTTACAACACTGTGATCAGGTTATTAGACCCTCTCCTTTGAGGATCTAATACTTCTGATATTTTATAGGAAGGTTTTGATACTTTACAGGAAGGGAGAAGAGAAGCACACTGGGCAGTGGCGGCTTTGAGAGGGAAACACCCACTGTCTAGTTGTAACAGGGAACTACAGGTTTTCTATCCCCACCCACAAGAACGCAGAGCATTACAAACAGGAACACCCTCAGTGACAGGGGGCTGTAAATCTCCAGTGAATCTGGTTTTCAGCTCCCTGAGAGCTCTGCATGCCTGAATACTTCAATCCTGAGGTCTTTGGTCATTCACTGATCAAAAGGTAAAAATCAAAGACCTGAGTGGATTTGAAGTATGTACTTCAGTACCTCTAAAAGTGTCCCTCAGAGCTCAAGCCAATCCTTGAAAGGTGGATGTTCTATGCAAACTCTCCAAAATGCTCCAAGAATTCCGAGTGAATTAATCATATTTGGACTGAGTGAGAGGAAAAGAGACCCAGAATCAATCCTCTCAGACCCTTTGAGACAGGGACCATGGGTGTAGTCAGAGTAGGGTGAGGGTCTCTGGAAAAAGCAAGGCATACCAACACTCTGTGTTAAACATTAAGAAAGGTCAGAGTCACATTAGCTTTCTAGAGTCATTCTTTAGTGAGATCAGTTTAAGCTCAAAAAGCCAGGAATAACTTGGCCTGGAATGTTTGAATATTCCTCAGATAAAGGAAAGTATCTCAGAATCATACCATTGTAAGATTCACTTTAGCATGCTAAAAGGCCCATGTCTACATGCTGTTTTTCTTCCTTCAGACCTAATCAAGTAATTTGCAACCTGGGCAATTAATAATGGCAAGCAAGCCCAGCCATAAACAACATAGTAAAAGCAATAAAGTTTCCATCTTAGATTGTCTTTTAAACTCTTTAGCAAACAGACAATAACTCAGCCCACCTTGAGGGCAGAGCAGGCAGTCTTGATTGATGATTGATACGCTCCCAGACCAAGAAGATGCTATTCCAGGAAAGAAATCTGCAGTAAATTTCTTATGTTAATTTTTCAGAATTACCTGGAGGACTGATAAGAAGAGACTTAATGTCTCATCAAGGATGAACATTCTAAGATCACTTAACATGTCCACACCCCTAAGCCCTTTATCACATTACAAAAATCCTCAACTGCCTATAAATCCCCTAGACAACTCACAACTAGGACTCTCTTGTTCCCTCCTGACATGAGCCTAGGAGCTGTGTCCTCTCAGTTTGTCTCTAAATAAAAGCCTCTCCCTGGCTCTCCTAACTTGAGTGTTTGCAACTTTGACTCCAAGAACAAGAACACCTGCATCATTTTGGTCTTTGGACCAGTCAGCCACTTATGTACAAAAGTGATATAATTTATATTTCATCTGGATTTTAAAGTTAACTACTATTATGAATAAAAATTTACAAGAAAGGCAAGTCTATGGACAGCCTAGCATCTCCCTGAGGCCACAAGCAATCTCTACATTGCTCTTAACTAGTCTTAGGTTGCCATCTGAGTTTGAATGGTAAAAATTTATTGTGTGTATCAGACATGCTTTAATCACTAATGCAACATTTTCATATGAGACTGATAAAGAATCCTGTTTCCATTTTTTTAAAAAGTAAATTTTCCTATATTTAAGCTCTAGTTACATGAATTCTCAGAAACTGAAAAAAAGCACCAAAGGTCTAAGGAGATGATGCTGCTTTGGGTGACTGAAGAGCAATGTAACACTTGGCGTTTCCAATTACTTTAGAAGCCAGCTGCTCTGGCTTTTTTCAGCGTTGACACCAAGTGTTCTAAAGGAATGCTAGGTTTGGTGGTTTTGGGAGGTGAGGCCATGTTGCTTTAGACATCTGAGTCCTTCAGTGCCTTCATGCAATACACACGTGTACTTTTTTCATCTTTTAACCGCAAGGCAAAATAATTATGTAAAATAGGTTGATCTCAAGCTACATCTGAAAGAGTTTACTAAAATGAGTCAAGTGGATTTTTCCTTGGTAAGAATCATGTAGAAATCTGTGGACCTGACTAAAGTGAACATCAGAGTTTAGAGCCATCAGTCAGCTGGAAGACAGATAATTTCTCTGCCAGGTGACAGGCTAATGGCACATACTGTCTATTATTGTTTTGTTGGCTGAGAGTGACCTGTACAAGTAGGAAGCCAAAAAAGGTCCTAAAAGGTTATCTAACCTCAAACTGGCCCCAACTCTATGGCATCTTCAGGAAGTCACTTTCCAAGGAAGTCAGATCCCCTCAACCACAACCCATTCCCCAACCAAACCCAGGTTATCCAGATCCCCCAGGATGGTTGGGGTACAGAGTCCACATTCCTAGGCAAGTTTAACCTTCTTGAGCAAAGGTCAGGAGGATGAGTTGGGCCCCCAGGCAATCACATGACCTACAAGTTACATTAACTACCAGAAGACGACCTGTATGCCATGAAGGAATTCCCTGAAGTAATGGTAACAGGAATGCACCAGATGGGCTTTTCTACGACTGTTCTCATGCTACAAGATGACTATTGCAGCATTACACTAAAATTTTTCAACACAATAATTTACAATCTGAAAAGGGTTACTTTTTAAATTTAATGGGGAAAAAAAAGGCAAGTATACCATCAATGAATGACCCCGAGAGCATCTACAATTTTCTTAGTAGCACCAAACCAAAACTACCAAAAAGTCCTGAGTTGTGGTAAGTGCTCAACTGTTTGCCAGTTTGCTACTACTTAGAACCCAAAGGGCAAACAATATAAAGTTTTGTCCCACAGATGAAGTTGAAGCTAACATCTTTCTCATGAGAAACTTCAAACAGTACGATAGATGCCCTCATATTCCAAGAATTCTCCAAAAGAATTTGTAAGCCAAAGATGATAACTCCTTTATAAAGGTGACAACCTTTCTAAAGTAATGAAAAAAATTAAAATGAATTAAGCACTAAGTAGTAATAACAGTCATGTTTTGCACGTTAATTTGTTAATCCTCACAAATACTCTATTAGACAGGTGCCATCTTTATCCCCACTGTACAGTCGTGGAAACTGAGGCAGGACAATTGTAGAAACCTACAGAAAAACGACTGCTTAAGTGGCAGAGAGGAGAAACCAGGCATCGTGGAGCTAAGCTAGTTTATGCCTGTGGCTCCCAAACTCTGCTGCACACTGAAACCACCTGGGAAGCTTTAGCACTCCATCCCCAGTCTGATTTAACTGGCATGGGCTGCGTACAGGGCACCAGGATGTTAAAGGTTTGGGAACTACTAGCTCTGCGCTCCTAACCCTAAGTATTAATAGTACTGTCCCTCTTGCCCCAGAGTTCCTGCCCCCGAGGCGTGAAGCCAGGGCAAAGGTAGAGAAAGCCAAAAGGGAAGGGGCGGCGAGCCTTGTCAAGGGTTCCGCGGGCAGGCTGCGGGGCCGACGACCCCGACCTGGGAGGGGCTGCAGGAGCGCCGGGGCCGGGCCGCAGGCGTCTCGGAGGCGCCCGAGGGGACGACGGGGGCGCAGGGCCACCGTCCCGCGGGGCCGAGCGGCAGCAGGGGGCAGGGCAGGCTCGCTCCCCTCACGTGACTCTCCCTCGGGCCGGGAGGGGGTTCCCCGCGGCCCCCCCCCCGCGCGCTCCCCCGCGCAGCCCGCCAACTCCGCCCGGGGCACGAGAAACAGCCTCCCTGTTAGGGCCGAAGTCACTTCGTGCCGCCAGACCGACACCGGAAATTTCGCTACTTTCCTTGCCGCGGCGGGGACGGGGAGTGCGGCGTGAAGCGGCACCGGCCCGGGGTAAAGGGATGAGAGGTGGCGGCGTCCGGGCGGCCCCGGCTTCCTTTCTGCCCCCGCCACGTACCCACCCGGAGGCGAAATCCTGCTGCACGCTCAGCAGCCGCTCGCGAAGGGTCTCCAGCATCGCTGCCGATGCCGCCGCCGCCACAGCCGCCCAGGGTCCCGCCGGCCCGGTCCTCGCGCCGCGCCGCAGACCCTTCCGCGTCTCCGCCCCCGCCGCGCCCACCCGCGCAGCCGCAGTGGGCCGCGCCGGCTTGGGCTGCGGAAAAGGGGCGGGCCTTCCTTCTGTGTAGCGAACTGTAGCGAAAGCGGGAGGCTCAGGGAAGCTTTCTGCAGCCGAGGCCAGGCCCTCGTTTTTCACTTTAAAGTAGCAGCGGTCTCATGAAAGGATGTTCTGAGTGGCGAGGTTCTTTCTTTGAGTGCAGTCTTTGTTTTTACGGGTTGGAGCAGAGTTGGATAAATTTTGTGCAAAGCGGGCCTTCCTGTAGTAGTCATTTCACGGACTCTGACCAGGATCTGACCCCCTGGCTTTGATCTTGGCTAGTTAACCTATTCTGAGCGGCGACTTGTTCAGTCATTGAATGACAATAATAAACTGTATCCTTACGTTTTGCTTGCTCTTCAACCTACCCCATCCCATCAGGATTTGTGTCCTTCACACCAAAGGAGTTCAGGTCACCTTTGTCAGGTGACCAGTGACTTCCGTGTTTACGTTGCCGTTTATTACCTGCCCTGATTTTTTCTCGACCTCTCAGTGGCTATCAATGCAGTTCCTTAATCACATTATTAAGACATATTTCTTCTCTCACCTTCAAGGACACCATACTTCTACTCTCCCTCCTATTTCAACAGCTGCTTCGGGGGCTGCATCTCCAGCCTCCTCCACTCTTCTCCACGAAGGCGCGGTTACTCTGTCCATTAACGTGTAAATTTTATCAAGGCACTGGTGATACCCAAATGTCTCTCTTCAACCCTACCCTCTACCCCTCCTTCAGTTTAGACCAGTTGCTTGTTCAACCTGTATTCAACAGGCAGGTCAAGTCCAAAATACTGAAAATTGAAAGTTTCATTGTTTACTTATCCCCTAACCTGCTCATCCCCTAGTCTTTCCCATTTCAGTAAATGGCACTACCATCCAGCAAGTTGCTCAAGTTAAGCCACCTGAAATCACCCATTTCCTCTTTTCCTCATCTGCCATATTAATTCAAGTGCTATCAACTCTAAATATTGCTGGCACCTGCTTCCCTTTCTCCATCTTCACTATAATGACTGCAGTCAAGGGACCATCACCTTTCACAGGGACACTGACAGGTCTCCTGATTCTACACTTTTGCCATCCCACCCCATAAATCCATCCTTAAGACAACAGCCAAGGAGAATGAAAGATTAATCAAATCAGGTTACTCTACTACTTTAAAGACTTAGTTGCTTACTGTCCCCATAAAATAAAATTCAAACTCCTTACTTGATGTCTTGTCTGAGGGTTTCAGCCCTGGGGCAAGTTAACTCTTGATTCAGTGAGACTGAAAAATGACAATGGAACGTTCTTGGGGAGAAAGGGTTTATACCCAACTTTACTCTCTCAGCGATGGCAGGTCAAAAGCTGGAATCCCGTCCACCTCAGAGTAAGTCTGCATGCAGCAAGCCAGTCTCTGCCTCTGGGCCTCTCTGCCTCCACAGCCATCTCAGTCTCTGTCCTCAGCGGTGCCACCACTCCAGCCTGTTCTCCTGCCACTGTGTCACTCAGAGCACTGGGCAGAGCACTTTTTATATAAGTAATAACGTATTGCCCACGCATGTGTAGTGAGCAAGCAGACCAGGGTCAGGTGGAAATACTGACCCTATGGACTTCCATTTTCTGTACACTTGGCATACAAAGTCCTAAAACCTGAATGCTTTCTTATACCCTATTCCAAGCAAGTACTACTTACTGTCTTGCCAATGGGTTTCAGCCCAGACAAGTTCACTATGGAGTCAATGAGACCAAAAAATGATAATGGAACATTCTTGGGGTGAAAGGGTTTATTCCCATGGTGGCCGGTCAATCACTAGAATCCTGTCCACTAAGAGCAAGTCTGCATGCAGTGAGCCAGTCTCTGCCTCTGGACCTCTCTGCACCCCACAGCCTTCTCAGTCTCTTCCCTTGATGCTGCCACCACTCTAGTCTCTGCTCTCCAGCAGCCTTGCAGCCCTGCAGCAGTGGTACCACAGTATAGCCCAGAGCACTAGGCGGAGCTCTTTATATAGAGTCAATAACAACATTGCCCACACATGTGTGTAGTGAGCTAGCCAACCAGGGCCAGGTGAGAATCCTAGCCACAGGAACCTTCACTTGCTCCACAACTACCAACCTATCATATCTTTGACATTTAAGCCACTGACCTTTTGTGTGTGTGTGTGTGTATGTGTTTCCACCTAAAGACCTTTTCACCACCTTTTCTCCAAACTGTCCCATGGCTGTCTCCTTTGTGACATTCAGATCTCAGCTTAGGTATCATTCCCCTAGGTAGATCTTCCCTGATCAGAGAATGATCACTTCTCAATCACTCCCTATACACACCTGTTTCTCAGCTTAGTATACAGTGCTGATAATTTGATAACTTTTTAATTCAGAAAACTGTTCATTAATTAATTTATGTACACATTTATTTTAAAACCAGAGCCTGGGACTAGAATGAGACAAGTAAGGCTTTACCTCAGGTGCAAAAATTGGAGGGGAGCCACATGTAGCACAGGAGTCAGCTCTTGGCAGCTTCACTCTGGATTTGGCGAGACCAAAATATGACAATGGAGTGTTGGAAAAAGGGTTCACACCAAGCTTTATTCTCCCAGTGGTAGGTTGCAAGACTCATGTTTACATCCATGGATCTGTGCACAAGTGCCTAGAGATCAACCTTTTATACCAGCATAGACAACAGTGGCAGTGTAAGTTATGCCGGAAGGGTGTGGGGCAGTGGGCTGGGGGAGTTCTTGTTTGTGGAGTCAAAGAATGAACTTAGCAAACACCCAAGGCAGGAGAGCCAGGAAGAGGCTTTTATTTAGAGATACGGTGAGAGGACAGAGCTCCTGGCTCACACCAGTAGGCGACAAGAGAGTTGTGTGTGTTGTCTAGGGGATATATAGGCAGTTGAGAAGAAAAAGGGCTAGGGATGCAGTCCCACTCTGGTCCCCAAATGTTTATTTTTGAAGAGATACTAAGTTTCTTATCAGTGGGTTACTTTTCAAAGTTAGCTGAACACAGGAAATTTACTGCTTTGATTCTTTTCCAGGATATCAGCTTCTGTCTGAAAGCATATTAATCAAGACTGTCTGCCCTGCTCCCAAGGTGGGCTGGGTTATTGTCTGTTATATTAAGGAACCTATTTTTTTCTTTTTGGGTTTTAAAATGCAATCTTATCTTTAAGATGGAATCTTTCTTGTTTTTACTATGTTGTTTGTGACGGGGCTCTCTTGTCCCCTCCTGGCGTGAGCCAGGAGCTCTGTGCTCTTGCTGTATCTCTAAAAAAAAGCCTCTACCTGGGTCTCCTACCTTGGGTGTTTGCTAAGTTCATTCTTTGACTCTGCAAACAAGAACCCCAGCATCATAAGCATGCGTCCGCAGTAGTACAAACATTATGTAAGCATGAGGCAGCACTGCATGTGCACAGTAGGTACAGACATGAGACAGCATAGCTGTCCACAGTGGGTCAGGTTAGCAGCCTGGCAATAGTTGTACCATTTTCCCTACACCAAAAAAGCTCAGTAATCAAGATGAATAATATTTTAATACAATATTTAAAAAATCCAAAATTAGTGAAAAATATCTGTGATGAACCATGGGTAAAATTGCAGCATTTCCAGAATCTGTCACCTGGCTTTAGTCCATCTCCATATCAATATGTAATTAGATGGGCAAGCCAGTCTTATCTGGACTGGAAAGGTTGGGTGGAGCTCTCTTCTTCTGCAGCCGAGTCGAGAGAGATGTGGGACAACTGCTTGTAAGAAATAAATGGGTTTCTCCCACTTTATTTTTCCCTTTGACTGATTTCAGTTTCAAAGGTATTTTGCCCTGGGATTTTACCCCCAGAGTTACATGAACAAAATATCAAAACTGTAAAAGAAGGACAGGATCTGATAGGGCTGGGAATGGATGACCCAAGTGAGATGAGCTGCGTGAGAACAGGCCCTGATATAAAATGACCAGTCTGATTTAGCTCTGTGTCTCCAGCACCTAAAACAGTGATGGTGCACAGTAAACAATAAGCATGACTGTGTTGTAGGAATCAAATAAGATAAAGTTCTCAGCTTAAGTTGGGGGGCCCCTCTTCCCCACTCTTGAGGTTTACTCCCATGTGGAGCAAGCTCCTCACAGTATGACATTCCAAGCCTTTCCTGGTGGAGAAGATGTGACTGCTGATTAGTGAGCTGGGGAATAAAAAGCCTGACCCCATCCCCTCTTCTTTGTCTCGGGTGCAAACTTCCAACAAAGAATACTTATTCTGCTTTATAAGAACAGGAGAGGAGCCCTGTGCTTTCTGTGACTGGGGGGAAAGTCTTAATCTGAGGTTCAGTAGTAGGAGTTCTGCTTGCCCATGAACATAGCCGTGTGCTCACTGCCTTACCAGAAATGAGAGTGATCTTCCCCTCACTTTATGCTGATGCTTCTGTGTTTTGAGTTGGTTCAGACAAGGAAGAGAGGCGTGTTGTTTGTTGAGCCCTCCTCCACCCTCCAGAATCACTACCTGATACAGATTTATGTGATCAAATAATCAAATCTTTAGAGATAGAGGCTTTAGTATCTAGATTTGGAAACCCATCATAACCTACTACTATTTGGGGAAATAATAAATAATAATAATAAATAATAAATATCTGTACTTTATTTAAGTCCCTCAGCTCATAAGTTTTCAAGTTACTTATTTTCATGGATCAAAGCAGCAAAGCAGAGCAAAAGACTTCCTGTTCCTAGAAAAGAGCTTTACTTGTGCCCAATAAATTTTGTCTTGACCATTGCATCATTTATAAGTCAATGGCAGATTTGTGCTTCATTTTGGAAACACTTCAATCCCATCATGTATGATAAATCTAAAAACAGTGGAAGTTTTAAAAGTACTTATAAGAAGAAACAACTATAAAGAAAGTAACTTTTATAAAATGAAAGTAGAGAGAAAATGAGTATTGTTGCACAGTTTGTTTTGTAGGGATGATTAAGGAACAAGAAGTGAAGCATGTGACACTTGGTGTTG